ACTGACACCATCAATTCAATGTGCTGGACGTTAGTTTGGAAATGCCACACAAGGCACAAACTCATAGTATGTCCCACATAAGGCCAGATGCATTATTTGCTTGAGGATAAGTAACAGAGTAAAGACAAATTAAGAGGAGCAAAATTAATCACAATCTCTGTGTGCTAATTACATGTACTAATATTATACCCAGCATCAAGCAATCAATCTTATTACAGATCTATCTATCTATCCATCTATCGTTACTCTGCTGAGATGGGCAGCATATAACCTTGGTAAATAAAAATGTCTGTTTATCTATTCATCCATTTATCTCAGAAAACAGTAACTGACAATCCAAACATGTGACAGATCTGTTATTACTCAATCAACCACCTCAATTGTGCTGATCCCCTACTGTGGACCCAAGCCAACTGGAACATAAGTACAAGGTTATTTGCGATATGCCAACATTGTTTCTCAACCCTGACAAGATGTATGAACTTCAAGTCCCAGAATTCCATAGTCAGTCATGGGGAAATGTTGAAATCCACACAACTTAAATTTGCTAACGTTGAGAAGCACTAATCTACATTCTTTGTCAATGAAGCTGAGGTCGATGTTTCAAGTAGTATTGCCTGTGGTAACAGCCCCTTGTTTGGAGGGTAGTTTCAATCTGGATGATTTTAGAACTTCTAGTATCAGCATGCAAATCTAAATTTAGGGGAAGTCTAATAGGCTCCCAGGAAATGTGATAAAAGATCAATATATGGAAAGTGCTCAAAGAGTATTATTCCGCATGGTGTCTGTGGTACAGAGAACACTTCAACTAAAATACACCATTTAAAAATAACATGAACACTAAAAGAAGGAACACAGAAAAACACATGTGTTGTTGGGTGGTCTTGACTCCACCACCACCACCACTCAGCACCTGAAATCTCATTTTAAAAAGCTACTGATAATTAAAGAGCATATGAAATGCTATCACAGTGTCTCCTACAAAATTTTCAGCTGGAACTGATTTAAGCATGACATTTTTGCAAAATGTCCCTCCTTCAGCACAAAACTGCCAATTCAAACATGAGATGGGTTGTTTATTTGAGGGGTGGATGGGAAGTGGAGAATTGGTGGCAGTTGCTCTGCACTCAAAACATTTCCAGGTTACTCTGTGTGGCAGGTTTCCCACTTTTAAGAGAGCAACGATTTGCTACCCCAAAAGGGACATTTCACAAAATTGCCTCCTAAAACATTTTTGTAACCTCTTATTTTCTACAAGCAAATCTTCTCTTCTGAAAAATATCCCCCCCATATCAAAAAGGTGTACAGACCTCCTTCATCAGCCTACAAAATTGATGACTACGAGATGTAGGATTGTACTAGCAAAGAGAAAATCTGCAAAGGCCCGTTCTGGTGAGATTCCTTGAAATTCTCCCTTGTTCTGTGGGTTGATTTGAATCCTCAAGCAAACTAAAGAAAAAAAAGGGAGAAAAAGCATGCTGTTTTAATGGAACACTGGAGGAAAAATATCACAAGAGGAATTGTAGGAAAAAGAACCTATTGTTTTAACAGAAACTGTAAGAAAACATGCTAGCCTGCAAAGAAAATACATTGTATATATTTCTAATCTTATGAGCTTGGCTGAAGTTTGGAAACTGTATGTAGGAGCTAGGATCAGAGGCCTTGCTATACTAAAAAACCGGTCTTAACCAGAATTTGCTGATATGATAGTTACTTCAGAGATAACCCCTAGGACAGGGGTCTTCAAACTTGGCCCTTTTATGACTTGTGGACTTCAACTCCCAGAATTCCTCAGCCAGGCACACTGGCTGAGGAATTCTGGGAGTTGAAGTCCACAAGTCACAAAAGGGCCAAGTTTGAAGACCCCTGCCCTAGGAACTAGCCATAAAAGGTAATTTGAAATAAGGGCAAGGTGCAATAGAATTTGAGGAATGGGAGATGTAACTACTTTAGGTGCTTCAGATAGGTTGTGACGGCCTGACTACTAAGCCAATGAGCAAAACGTGGGAGGTAAATTTGCAACGGCAATAGGGAATATAAAGAATATTAATGATTTAAGGTGTGTCCACTGTACTTGCGTGCACCTGATACACCCTCTTTGCAAAGTAGTACAAATAAATTACCCTTTGAAGTTTTGGCTGGGGATTCTTTATTTAAACTAGACAACGGATCCCACAGAATGAATGAGAAATGGTCTCATTTCTCATTCATAACCTTAAATTGGCTTTAGGAATGCAATGCTAAAGCCAATGCAATCTGCAAGAAAGATACAGTAACCAATCTAATAAGGACTTTATGTCATATCATGATACAAATTTAATTACACTCTGCAGTTTGCCCTTGACTTACAATCATTCATTCGAAGTTACAATGATTTGTGTGTGGATTTTCACACAACTGTTGCAGCATCCTTATCATGACCCGATCAAAATTGTCAATTGGCATATATTTATGACAACTGTAGTGTCCCATGTTCAGTTGAACACTATTTGTAACCTTCCCAGCCAGCTCCCAATAAACAAAAATCAATAGGGGAAGCTAGAGTCGCTTAATGATCAAATGATTCACTTAACAATTGGAGTGCCCACAAGCCTGTGACTTTTGGAATAAGATTAAAAAATGGCTGGAAGAAATATTAAAGTTAGTGGTAGAGTTAAAACCAGAACTCTTTTTACTAGGCATAACCATGCAGAAATACAACAAAGGAGTGTTTTATTTGATGTTACACATTCTCGCGGCTGCTAGATTGGTGTATGCTCAAAACTGGAGGAATAAAGGAATCCCAACAGAAGAAGAGATTATATATAAAATTTTATCGTGTGCTGAAATGGATAGGCTCACAATGGAAATGAAGGATAAGACAGAATCAGACTATTTCGAGATCTGGGACAAATTTGATCACTGGTGTGAATCAAGGAGAACTGCTCGGGTTTTAAATTAGTGTTAAGATAGAATTATATATAACTGTATATATAACTGTATTGTACAGAAGAATATGTTTATATAGAGATCAAGAATTATGTATTAATTACATGTATCAAGAGGAACAAATTGTTAGGAATATTTATTTTGGAATGTCACGTTATGTCCATCTTTGTTTTTAACTGTATTATAAATAAAAAACTTTTTTAAAAAAGCAATTGGAGTGACTGAAATGGGACAAAACCCACCTAACAAATGTCTTGGAAAATCTGGGGCTCAATTGTGGTCGTAAGTCGAGGACTATGTGTACTTCCAAGTATTTTCAAGTCTTTGTATATTCTCAGATTTCAAATTAAAATATCTCTAGTGAGGATCTCAAATATAGCTCAGACCAAATTGCCATGGCAAGCACAAAACCTCACCCCCTCATGGAGCCTTTTTCTGGAGGTTGCCATGGCGACATAAGGATACTCGCCCCCTCCCCTCAGTCGCTAATGGGGGGAGAGGCTGGGAGTTCGCAGTTACCATGGCAACGCCAGAGCTTCAACCAGCTGCGATGGTTGAAATCAACGGGTTGCCATGGGGACAGTCGCGCCTGCGCAAAACACACTGGCCCACCCCGACCCGGTCAAAAAGCGCCTCACCGCCCAGGATGAAGCTGCCCACGGCCGAGATGAAGCCGGAGAGGAAGGAGTTGAAAGGGAAGGTGCCGACGCCGAGGCAGTAGCCGAATTGCAAGGCCCCCGTTAGCATGACGTAGAGCAGATAGGCGTCCAGCACCTTCAGGCGGCTCGGCGTCCCGCTGCTGTACTCGGCTAGGAACCGTCTCACCACGGAGGTCACCGAGCTGGCCCCGGAGCCGGACGACCCAGAAGCCGAACCAGACATAGCGACGGCGGATACACTGCCCAGATTTCGCTTGCTTGAGTGGCCGGAAGCGAGCTAAAGCTTCCGGGGTCGCTTTGGGACACGCGCATGCGTAGCATAGAAGCCGCGGCTCTCCCAAGGTCAACACAGTGTGGGCAGACTGGTACGCATGTGTAATACGTCAACCTTTGGCCGTTGACGCATGCGTGGGATAGTCTGACGAGCCGAGAAGCGGTGTTGGCTAGGAATCGCTTTCTACGCATGTGTGGTACAGTCATCGTTGCGCGTGCGCTTTTGGTTCTGTCCCTGGAGTAACAATGAATGAATTTATGCTCAGTGGGTGTGTGCTTTAAAAGAAGTTAAAAAGCAACATTTTCATGCATTTGGATTTGAAGTCTTCAGCTTAAAAGGGCGGGGGGGGGGATAAATTCCTCCTGGAGTTATAATGCAACAATATGTGTAAAAAAAGAATTTAAAAAACCATTGGCAATATACTTTATAAAAGCATGAAGTAGCATAAACTACATGTTTATGGAGATTCTCATGGTTGTCCCAGACTTTGTTTTTCCTTGAAGACTTTTCTTATCCAAGAAGTTGTTTTTTTTCAGTACAGAACTGAAGAAGCTTCTTGGGTGAGAAGCGAAACGTCTTCAAAGAAAATCAAAGTCCAGTTGCCTCCTGAAAAAAAGCACCTTGGGACAACCATGACCTGAATGACTGAGAATCTCCATCGACATTAAGCCTGCCTCTTAAGCCAACGTAAAGATCGAGCCGCTTCTCTCTTGCAGAGGACACAGGAATCGCTCCCTTTCAAAGGGGGGGGGGGTTGAGCTTGGCTGCAATAAGCATCTGTCCCCAGCTGGGCCAATCCCCGTCCCCTCCCCGTCAATCAAGCCACCCAGGCTCCTCCCCCTCTTTGTGATGCCTCCCCCTCCTGCCCACCCGCTTTCCTCCTCCCTCGCACTGATCGCCCCCCCAGGCAGGAGGGAGCACCAGGGAGGGCTGCCGCGCTCTCTTTTGGAGCTTCCCTCCCGCCCCCGCCCTTCCCTCCATTCAAAGCCCAGCAGGAACGTCCCACAACCTTTTCCCCGCCCACCCCATTCATAAAATGCAAGCCCCGCCCCGCCCTTGCCAGAAACTGGGCACGCCCCCGTTCTGAACGACCCCGCCTTCCCGCCCAGCTGTTGCAATGCGTTCCTTCTTGAGGAGTCATGGAGGAAGACCTTGAGCCGTCGTAAGTCTGGGCCGGGTTTCCGGGCGGGTGGGTGGGTGGAAGAGCCTGACGTGGGGCTTCCCCGCCTTTCTGGGGTTTCCTGGGGAGGGGTCTTCCCCAAAGTGGGAGGGGGAGGAAGCATCCAGATCGCTTGCAACGTCTGGAGGGCCCTTGTCCCATCAGAAGTAGGGCTGATGGCAGGAGAAAGCAGGGTCAACGGTTGTTGCTTAGGCCCCGGGTTGTGTAATTGTGTGTTTGAGATGGTGGCTGGTGGGCATGGATTTATTCTATTTGTTTCTTTGATGATTGTCATTTGTCACCCTTTGGCTCAGCAAGGCTCTCTTGGCATTTATACATTTGCCCTATCTATCTGATGCCATCTTAATACCTTCGCTTCCTTCCTAGTTGCACGGCTTGTTCTGGCTCTCGATGGTTGTGCGGGTGTGTTCTGCTTGCCGTGCTCGCCAGTGTTAAATCCTGAGTCATGGTTACAAAACTATCCCGAGCAGCTGATAAACTTTCCAGCCTGCAGGAATTGAAATAACGGATAGCTGAACAAAGCTGCTGCAATAGGAGGGCGAATTCTAATAATAACGGTGGTGGAAAGAGAGAGAGAGAGGGAAAAAAAAGCAGAAAACAAACCGTAACAGCCTTAATTAGTCTTTGGGAATGGGTGGCTATTAAAAGATGTAAATGATGATGGGGATAAAGTGATAGAAAATGAAGGGGTGAAAGTGCTCTGGGACTCCAAAATTCAAATTGACAAACACCTGTTGCTATGCTTAAAAATTGTTGATAAGAAAGAACCCCCCCCCCCAAAAAAAAAAAAAAAAGTCTGGATAATGGACCTGACAGAGCCTGGAGACAGCAGAATAAAAGAGAAAGAACTGGAGAAAAGAACACAATATAAAGACCTGCTAATAGAAGTAGTAAGATTTGTGGCAAAAGGAAGCAGGCTAAAAGAATGAAAGGGAGCTGGTTTGGTTTAGTGGTGAAGGCACCAGAAAAGAAAACCAGGAGACGGTGAGTTCGAGTCCTGCCTTAGGCATGAAAGCCAGCTAGGTGACTTTGAGACACTCATTCTCAGCCCAACCCCACAGGATTGGGGTTGGGACACTCATTCTCAGCCCAACCCCACAGGATTGTTATTATAAGGAAAATAGGAGGAGGAAGGAGTATCCGCTATGTTCACCGTCTTGAGTAATTTATAAAGTAATGAGGAGGGAAAAAAATACTTTTAAAATACTTTAAAAAGATAGTACTACTAGTAATAAGCCCCTTGGATACAATCCTAAAACATCTGGAACATCACTTGAATACTGTGGGCATTGACAAAAGCATCAGCCAATTGCAAAAGGCAGCTTTACTTGGAACAACTTACAACCTGTGAGAATACAGAATAACAAAGCCGGAAGGGAGAGTTCAGCCCCCTGTTAAAAGCAATCTCTTCTTAAAAATCTCCAGTGCCCACAGTTTCCGGAGACAAGTTATTCCACTGATTAATTGTTCTAAGTATTAATACCTTTAATATTATCAAACAACATTAGCCTAAGCCAGGTCCTTCGGAAGGACTGGATAGCTTGATAAAATGCCAAATCCAATCTAAGCAAATGGCTGGCTGTGTGTGACCAATTATAATTATAATAATTGTTATTCATTATTATGGGTGTCAAACTCCCAGGCCTTTTTGAATTGGGGAAGATTTTCTGGGAGGCTCTGAGACTTGATAAAGAAGATCAAATATGGTTTGTTCAAAGAATCTTTGTAATCTCCCATATTGGGATTTCTCAGCCGTAATGCTGGGTTTTAAGGTTTGGGGATTAAGCTTGCCTTTGTCAGTACAAGCAGGCTGGTAAGAAAGCAGATTGAAATGCAGCCGACTTTATCCTCTGCCAGCTTCTAGATAATGCCAAGAAGAGGCCTAGCACTGGGGACTAGCATGGACAAAATAAAACATCACAAAAGCATGGCCAAAACAGTTTAAAGGCAAAGAAAGGAGGGCAGGCAGCTTGGATCTGGGTCCTTGGGTTTCAATAAAGGAGTTAAAGCACTGCCCTACAAATTATTTTCTGTTGCTAGGATTTCCGTGATTCTTCTTCGCACGGAGAAAGTGACTTTTCTCCCTGGTTAAATAAAAATAAAATTCAGGAAGAATCCTTTTAGAGTCTGTTAGTTCCTCCGCCCAAGCCTTAGGCAAACTGGCTGGCATTTTGTGAAGCCCAAGCCAGTTTCATTTCTAAGGAAAAAAGGGAGTCAAACTCAAACTGGGAAGTGATGTAGCTCTTTCAAGGCCAGTTTGACGGCTGGGGACTTGCCGTATGCTGTGAAAGGGTGAAAATCCTCCATGTATGCTCAGAGGCCTTTGCAGTGTTGTGTGTTGTTTTAAAACCTCGCAGGGTTGTTGTTGTGGGGAAAATAGGAGGAGGAAGGTGGGTTTCATACGTTTGCCACCTTGAGTTATTTGTAAAAATAAAAGTGGGATACAAATACTGTATCGAATGCTGCAGTCAATTCTGGTCACCATATCATAAAAAAGATGTTGAGAGTTTGGAAAAAATTCAGAGAAGGGTAACTAAGATGATCAAAGGCCTGGAGTCCAAAATATATGAAGAACGGCTGAGGGACTTGGGTTTGGCTAGTCTAAAGAAAAGAAGAAATAGGGGAGACATGATAGCAGTGTTCCAGTATTTGAGGGGCTGTCACAAGGAAGAAGGGGTCACATTGTTCACCAACGCACCAGAGGGAAAGACGAGAAACAATGGTTGGAAACTGATCAAAGAGAGAAGCAACCTGGAATTAAGGAGAAACTTCCTGACAGTGAGGACAGTCAACCAGTGGAACAGCTTACACCCAGAAATCGTGGGCGCTCCATCACTGGAAATCTTTAAGAAGAGATTGGATAATCACCTGTCCAGGAGGCTGGACTAGAAGACCTCCAAGTTCTATTCTATCCTATCCTATCCTATCCTATCCTATCCTATCCTATTCATTAGGAATTTCAGGAATTGGGTATGTCTAGTGTAATGAAAAGAAGGATAAGGTCCCTTCCAACTTTATTATTACTATTATTATTATTATTATTATTATTATTATTATTATTATTATTCTCCAAAGTACCAGAAGGCAGGACAAGAAGCAACGAATGGAAACTAATCAAGGAGAGAAGCAACCTAGAACTAAGGAGAAATTTCTTGACAGTGAGAACAATTAATCAGTGGAACGGCTTGCCTCCAGAAGTTGTGGGTGCTCCATCACTGGAGGCTTTTAATAAAAGATCGGACAATCATGGTATAGGGATTCCTGCTTGAACAGGGGGCTAACTAGAAGACCTCCAAGGTCCCTTCCAACTCTGTTATTCAGTAATGATAATGATGATGATGATAATAATAATGATAATGATAATAATATACTCTCGTTAGCTCCAAGACATTTTTGAGCTGCTTTGGATCAGAGAACAAGATATGTAAGGTAATCTCATACTGGATAAAAAGGGAGCTTTTATATTCAGGTGTGTTAATAAATAATAAACTTCTGGAAATGGTTAGGGGAATTAGAAGAGAGGGATTAAGGGTTGACTTTCTGCAGTTGGGTCCCTAGAAAGATGATGTAAAAAGATCTTCTCTGTGTTCACATTGACCCGGGACTCGGAAGCGATTCAACAGAAATTTAAATCAGTAATTCAACCTTCAGTTTGGTCCCGGCATGGATTTGTAACACTATAGCCCTGTTTTCTTGCTGGCTGGCTGGCTTTTTTTTTTGTGTGTGTGCATGCTTGGATTGATTTTGGAAGTGAGAAGGGGAGCCACTTTCCTTGTTTTAATGTAATCTTTTTCCTAGTCTGTGATAGGCAAAGGAGATCCCAAAGGTGCTTTGTCAGGAGGCAACTGGACTTTCTTGTTTTGTTTTGTTTTTTGAAGGTTTTAGCTTCTCATCCAGATTTGCTTAATGACTGGGCGACTCATTTAACTGCAGTGATTATCTGAAGAATTGCTTCAAGAAAGGTCATAAAATTGAGTGCAATTCACTTAACAAATGCTGGTCTCAA